ATTTTCACCAGTTAAAGCGGTTTCATCATTCTAAATAATGACATACAATTAAGCGATACTCATATGGTGTTGTTTAATTTCTGTTATGTTACAAAAATTATGGGTTGTTGAGGTTTTACGTTATTTTAGAAATAAATTCTGTTACGTTTGTCGTCTGTTTAATAGATGTAGCAGGATGTTTAAACATTTACAGGTAATTTATTAGGTAGGTAAGACATGCTAGATTTAAGGTTACTTAAATATTAGAGGTTATATATTAAAATACTGCCAGCTAAACGTCACTCACTATCGGTGCAGTACGTAGAAGTAGCAGAAAATTGTGAAGGTTAAGGTTAAAGGGGCGCTGTACGGGTGCGAAACATGGACGGTGAGCGTGGAGTAGCAGAAAAGGTTAGAAGCGTTCGAAAAGTGGTGTTACAGGGGAATAATGAGGATATCGTGGATAGAAAAGGTTAGAAATAAAAAGGTATTAGAAAGAATAGGAGCACAGGGGTTACTATGGATGTCGATAAGAAATAGACGAGATAGGTTGGTAGGATACTTTCTTGGGCATGAAGACATATTAGACACAGAAACAGGACTTAAGAGGCATAGAGGTCCACCTAGATTAGATTACTCCAACTCATCAATAGTTAAGGATGTGGGATGCTCTAGTATTAGGGAAATGCGAAGATTATTTTAGGATAAGAAAAAGTGGAGGTGCATGTCAAATCAGTTTTAGGATTCACGACCTTATAATGATGAAAGTAGAATAAAAGAAGACAATGAGGGACCTTAAACTGAGGTGACATTTAATTGACTTGACCCGACACATGTTAAATATTCAAATCACATATAATTAGTTGCGGATCCAAGCGGGGGAGCTAGGGGTACTGTAGTCCTCCTCATAGGACGGACTAATTATTTTCCATTTATTTGCTCTTCTTTGTCAAATCTCGCTCATGCGTGTAGGCTAGTAACAAGCTAGAAGTTAAATATATCTGCAATCACCATCGACGTGGGGTTGCTTTCTAAAATGCAGCCATTGGAGAAGCAAATATGATTATTCATATATGATAAGTCCTAAACACGAGCACCCGAAAAAAAAATGATAGACAAAGTTTTCGTTTTGCTCTACTTATCTCCAACAGGTCTTCTAAGTCCCTAGAAGAGAAAGACTCGTTTATGTTTGAATACCCCTCGTATATATAAAGTATACGTATGTATATGAGATGAAGGGCAACATTTGAAGTTTTTACTGCAGCCTCTCCAATTGCAAATCCTAAATCCTCCACTGAATTTAATAAAAACGACCAAACTGTTATGTTTGGTGTGGGTATCTTTACCATTGTAATTTTCATCATCATCATCATCATCATCGTCATCGTAAGACTGTTTAGACACACATTTCTACTTCTCCCTATCATGTGAATTCCTAAATATTTGCGGACAGTAATCTAATCTATATGTATCTCCACCTTTCTCAACTCCTGCTTTTGTTTCTAATATATCTCCAACTACTTCGTCTTGCAGTGTGAACCTCAATACCATCTCTATCTTTAAACATTCTGTTAATAATATTTGTCCGTGGCTTATTGGTATTTATTATAAAACAAAGGCAATGAAACTTTTATTCATCATTTGAAAAATCGATTTGAGCATATTGAACACCGATTGTAACACACTGCTATGTATTGAAGTTGTCAAAAGTTCAAGTTCAAATCTATTACTTGCTTGCAACAAATGGGACATTCTACACATGATTAACTTTTTTATGGAAGATAAATTACTTTAGCAAGCAAGCATGAGGAAATTTTGCCAATATAAAGAAAAATCACAGGCATTATTGGATTACATTCGATATACTCCTTGTATAAATACAAAAACTCAAAGCCGTTTGCACTTTTTTTTTATTAAAACTAAATTAAAGTGACTATCTTAAATCGGTTATCTAGGGAACTAATAAATAAATCTCTTCAAAGGAATTTATCCTAAACATATTCCAATAATAGATGTGCTACCTATGGAATCAGCTGAAAAGGTTTCTGGAATCGATGAACTATTATTCTCCCATTTGACCCGATTATTGGCATTCATTTTCATAGTTACCATCGGTCGGATTTAATTAATTAATTCATTAATTATCGCATTTGCTTCATCCCATTAATTAATAGCCAGCCAACTTGACTCTTCGTTGAAACTACATGCAACTGGGTGATGAGAACCTATGTCATTTTGGCAACTGTCTAATTCTTATTCTGAAGTGATCCAATGTTTTTATAGGCAAACGTAGGAGAATTTAATTGGCCAATGGAGAGTATTAAATATTTATCTTTTGCACCTGTATAATTTATTTGCGATACGTGCATTTGGTTTAAAAATAATTTTTTTATCTTCAGTTGCGCTGCAAATATTTACAAATGAATATTCAAATTATTATCTGATCGTTAGAGTTGTTGGGATGCGCGTGGTGTGACGCCGTTTCTTTATTATTCTAATTTTTATATTACTTATATATAATTAGGCCACAAATATCAATGATTTTAAACGCCCACATTCAATTTTCTACGAGATCATAATAAGCTACTTGAGCTTTAGAATTTTAACATCGAAAGCTTCCTGCTAATATCAAGGTAATTGTATCTA